AATCGTCCGTCAAGAGGAATCCGCAGTCGTCTTTTGGTGCAACAGATCTTCGAGTCTCTTCACCCAACACCTTCACTCGAAATGGAAGTAAGCTCAACATAAGAAACAACGCTTTGACTGGAATCGAATGAAATCGGTCAATCGGAAAAGATAAGAAACCGATCATTGAGGTTATGAATGAGATTTGATTGAAGTATTTTTCAGACAGAAATGCCAACCGTTTGGCTTCAACTTGCGATTAGATCTTGAATAAGGTTTCCAGTTCCACTAGGTCGGATAAGGTGACGAGGACGAGGATGGTTGAATTTTCCCACAATCACATTTCATCTTGGTCTTGCTTCCCCAAAACTATTCAAATCCGAGCTGGAACCTAATCTTCCCCTTTCTGGTGTTCTCCGCTTAAGGGGCCAATCATTCTGTTGCACTCTAGTCAATTGTGTGGCCGATCAAAGTGGCGTGTTCAGCTGTCTCCGGTCCTTCTGTATCCATTTTCTGCACAGTCGCTGGTGAATTTTTGTTCACAGTCCTTGCAGTTTATGTTGTACATTCCGTAACACTCCCTGTTGTTGACTTCTTCATGTTGTGCTGGAAAGCTGGTCAAGAGGTTTGTCATTTCCTTCGGGATCGCACGAATGTTCCATTTCCCTGTCATTGGCCGCAGCTGTCGAGCCAATTGGTGGCAGGGTTGACATGTCCATCGTCTTTCATCGTCTGCCTATCACCGTCCGCATCTTGCGTTCTATTGCTTCTTCTGGATTTTCGTTTCCGAGCCACCTCCGACTTTGCGCTCACAGTTTCTCTTCCCAGAACCCACAACCCAGGGTCATTGATTCGTAAGCTTCCTTTTACCATACTCGGCAGTATGGTAACCTGTCGAGATTATACGCTGTACTTTCATGGTACCAGACTTTGTTGAATTCTCATTTCAAGCTGGATGAATGTACCTGTTGGGAAAGCAATGCTATATGGAATTCAATGGAAATGTCAGCTCTACTCACGTCATTGTGGGAAAATTGTTCTACCAGTCTCTCATCACCTTAAGCGAAATTGAGTCAATAAATCTCATATATGTTATTGTTTTTCGTTTGTAAGTAGGCTTTCGAGATTATCTAAGTGGGTTGACCTCGTTGTCGCAAATTGGTCTTTGTGTCCAGGGAGACTATGTAGAACGCACCGAGTCCGAAGTCGTCTGCCATAGTAGTTGTCTTGATTCCTAGCATCAAGTCCACGGTCGGATGCTAGGAATCAAGACAACTACTATGGCAGACGACTTCGGACTCGGTGCGTT